GTCATAGAAGCATGAAACAGACTGTTGAATCTCAGAGGGAAGGTGGGGATGGATGGGTGGGTGGGTGGGAAGAAATCAACCATAACCCATGGACACAGACAGTGGTGTGGTGAAGGATTGGGGCGGGGGTAGGTTAAAAGAGGTCAATAGGAGTGAGAAGAGGGGGACATATGTAATACTTTCAACAATAAAGGTTAAAAAAAGAACTACAAATTGGCAGTTACAAAATAGTCACAGAGATGTGAATTACAGCATAGGGAATATAGTCAATAATATTACAATAACTATGTATGGTGCCGGATGAGTACTTGAAATATCAGAGGAGTCACTGTGCTGTTAACATGAAACTATTACAACATAATATTGAATGTAAACTATAATCTAAAAATAAATTTAAAAAATAAAAAATAAATAAAGGTCATAGATGACAAATGCACAGCCAACAATATATTGAATAAGTAAAAACCACACGTGTTTCCCTTAAGAATGGAAACAAAAAAAAAAAGTTGTTTGCTTTCACCACTCTTATTCAATATAGTATTGGAAATCCTAGCCATAGTAATCAGACAGAAAGAAGAAATAAAAGGAACCCAAATTAGAAAGGAAGAAGTAATTGCATGCCATGCAGATGACATGATACCGTATATAGAGAATCCTACTAGAAAAAACTACTAGAATTGATAGATGAATTCAGTGAAGTAGCAGGATATTAAATAAATATGCAGAAATCAGTTGCATTTTTATACACCAATGATAAACTATCAGAAATGGAAACTAAGAAAACAATCCCATTCACAACTACCTCAGAAAGAATATAATACATAGGAATAAATTAAACCAAGGATGTAAAAGACCTGTATTCAGAAAATTTTAAGACACTGAAGGAGGAAATTGAATAAGATACAAATAAGTGGAAGCATATACCATGTTCATTGAAAGGAAGAATTAATGTTTTTAAAATGTCTGTACTATCCAAAGCAATCTACAGATTTAATGCTATTCCTATCAAGATACCAATGACGTATTTCATAAAACTAGAACAAATATTCTAAAATTTTTTATGGCACCATAAAAGACCCCAAATAGCAACAGCCATCTTGAGAAGGAAAAACAAAGTTGGAAAAATCAAGCTATTTAATGGCAAACTATACTACAAAGCCATAGTTATCAAAACAGCATGGTGCTGGCATTAAAAACAGGCACACAGAACATTGGAACAGAAGAGAGAGCCCAGAATTAACCATCCACATATATGGTCAACAAATATTGAAGAAGGGGGCAAAACCACCCGAAGGGAAAAGGACAGTCTCTTCAACAAGGGTGCTGGAGAAACTGGATAAATACATTCAGAACAATAAAGTTGAACCCCTATCTTAAACCACTCACGAAAGTTAATTCAAAATAGATCAAAGATTTTAAAATAAAACCTGATACCAAAAAACTTCTAGAAGAAATGTAGATCTTGGCATTGATTTTCTGGATATGACATCAAAAGCACAAACAATAAAAGCAAACACAGACAAGTGGGACAACATCAAACTTAAGAGCTTCTGTACAGAAAAAGAAACAGCAAAATGAAAGGCAACCTTCAGAATAGGAGAAATTTTTTACAAACTAATTTCAGATAAGGGGTTAATATTGACTTTACTCATATGTGGAATTTAATGAACAATTTGAACTACCAAAAGAAAAAATAGAGACAGAGTCATAGATAAAGAATAAACAGACACCTCTGGTGGAGGGGTGGTGGTGTGGGGGTTGAGGGTGGAGGGGTTGAGTGAAAAAGAGAGAACTCATGGACAAAAGTATGGTAATTGTGGGGAGACAGAAGGGGCAAGGGGGTGGATGAGGGAATAGAGGGGGAATATGGTGATAGAAAAAATAGAACAGAACAGGAATAGAATAGAATAGAATAGAATAGAATAGAATAGAATAGAATAGAATAGAATAGAATAGAATAGAATAGAATAGAATAGAATAGAATGGAATACTCATACAACTCAATATCAAAAAACAATCCAATTTAAAAATGGGAAGAGGAACTGAAGAAAAATTTTGCCAAAGATATCCGAGTGGACAACAGGTACATGAAAAGATTTCATCACTAATCATCAGGGAAATGCAAAGCCAACCACAATGAATTATCACCTCACATGGGTTAGAATGGCTACTGTCAAGAACACAGAGATAAGTGTTGAAGAGATGTGCAGAAAAGGGAACTCTTATACATTATTGGTGGAAATGTAAATTGGTTCAGCCACTAAGGAAAACAATATTGAGTTTCCTCAATAATTAAAAATAGAACTACCAGAATCTTTACAACCTGGACCCAACAAAATGGCTCCCACCAAGAAGGGTGATGAGAAGAAGCGCTTTTCAGCATCAATAAGGTAATGACCAGAGAACACACTATCAACATTCACAAGCTTATCTATGGAGTGGGTTTTAAGAAGCACACCCCTCAGGAACTCAGAGAGATCTGGAAATTTGCCATGAAGGAGAGGGGGAACTCCAGATGTGTACATTGACACCAAGCTCAACAAGGCTTTCTCAGCCAAAGGAATAAGGAATGTCCCTTATGTGTCTGGGAGTGGTAGTCCAGAGCACGTAATGAGGATGAAGATTCACTAATCAAGGTCTATATGTTGGCTACCACTTTCAAAAATCTATAGTTAATGCTGATTGTTGAACAAAGTTATAAAACTACAAAAAAAAAAAGAAAATAGGTTCTCCAAATGGTACAGCAATTTCCAGTGTACACCAAAGAAAGGCCTTGGGGAGGGGCCAGGAGTTGGGAGGGAGGAGGTCATTGGAGTGGAGGAAGGGGAGAACATCTGTAAAACTTTCAACAATAAAGTTAAATTTTTTAAACAAGGAAATGAAAATGGGGTATTAAAGAGATGTATGTACTCCTTTGCTTATTATAGCATTATTCAATAGCCAGAACATGGAGACAACCTAACTGTCTGTATCAACTGATGAATGGATCAATTAGATGTGCCCTATATACACAGTGGATATTATTCAGCCATGTGAAAGGAGGACATCTGCAATTTGCAACAACATAAATGAACCTTGAGCATATTTTGGTAAACTAGATGCCCAGTGCATGGATTCGTGCACTGGTGGGGTCCCTCAGCCTGGCCTTCACCCTCTCACAATCCGGGACCCCTCGGGGGATGTCAGACTGCCAGTTTCAGCCCCATTCCCGCAGGCCAGACCGAGGGACCACACACATGCATGAATCTGTGCACCAGGCCTCTAGTATGCATATAAGATCTTTGTTTAATCTCTTCCCACCTTCTCCCCTCCCACTTCCATCTGAGATTCATCAGTCTGTTCCATGTTTCCATGCCTATTCGTTGAGTGTCTGCTTCCTGGTGGTCAGTGTGCATCATGGCTACTGGTCAAATTGTCAAACAGTCAAACAGTTGAACATTTAGCCAGTCACTTAGGCTTTTATATATATAGATGAACAAGACAGACAGAGGAAGACAAGTACTGTATGGTATCATTTGCATATGGAATCTAATAAAGCCAAACTTATAAAAACAGAAAGTTCCAGAGAGTAAGGGATGTGAGATAGGACAGATGTTCAAAAGTACAGGCTTGCAATGAGTCATAAATAAGACCTAGAATAGCGGTTCTCAACCTGTGGGTCACGACCCTTTTGGGAGTCAAGCGACTCTTTCACAGGGGTCACCTAAGACCATCGGAAAACACATATAAAATTACATATTTTTCTTGTGATTAATCACTATGCTTTAATTATGTTCAATTTGTAACAATGAAATTGGGGGTCACCACAACATGAGGAACTGTATTAAAGGGTTGCGACATTAGGAAGGTTGAGAACCACTGACCTAGAAGTTTAATACACAGCATAGTAAATGTAGACAATAATATTGTATTATAATCATCAAACTTGCTAAGAGACTAAAACATATGACTCCAACCACAAAAAAAGAAAGGATCATTATGTAACACTAGAGGCCTAGTGCATGAAATTCATGCACTGGGCGAGGGAGGTCCCTCAGCCCGGCCTGTGCCCCCTCGCAGACCGGGACTCCTCGAGGGGTGTCCACCTGCTGGCTCCTTACCGGTCGGTTCTCTGCTTCTTAGCGGCAGGCTCCTTACCAGCAGACTCTACAGCTCAGCTCATTGCTCCTTAGCGCTGCCGCAGAGGTGGAAGAGGCTCACTAGTCATGAGCCTGGCTTCTGGCTGAGCAGCTGCTCCCCCTGTGGGAGCACACTGACCACCAGGGGGCAGCTCTTGCATTGAGCATCAGCCCATGGTGGTCAGTGTGCATCATAGTGACCAGTCGTTCTGGTGGTTCCACCGTAACAGTCCCTTAGGCTTTTATTATATAGACTAGAGGCCCGGTGCACAAAATTGGTGCATGGAGGGAGGGGGGTCCCTCAGTCCAGCCTGCACCCTCTCCAATCCAGGACACCCAGGGGAATGTCCAACTGCCGGTTTAGGCCTGATCCCGCAGGGATCATCCTTCTTGCAATCCGGGACCGCTGGCTCCTAACGTCTCACCTGCCTGCCTTCCTGATTGCCCCTAACCACTCTACCTGCCTGCTTGATTGCCCCTAACCATCTCTGCTTGCTCGTCTAATTGTCCCCTAACTGCTCCCCTGCTGGCCTGGTTGCCCCCTAACTGTCCAGAAGGAAGTCGGATGTCCAGAAGATGTCCAGTCAATTGGTCTAATTAGCATATTACCCTTTTATTAGTATAGATTGTCCCTACACTGGCAATCATATTACTATATGTAAATGTGTCAAGTTAATGTGCTGTTCACCTTAAATGTGCAAATATATTTCAATAAAAAGTGTTTAAATAAAGCAGCTAAAGGACAAGAGCAGTGGAAGTTGCCCACATTTAAATAAATGGAACTTAAATGCATGTCACAAATTCTACCCAGTGCAGAGACTTATGGGATGGAAAATATAGGAAATCCCAGTATCTACTGATGTGTTTGTCTTTCTCTTTCAGTTGACGATTCTGGAAAAATCAGTAAGTTTGGATCATTTCCTTACCTTACCTATTATTGTATCCAGGACCCTTGAGATTTTGTTTCCAATTTTTTTTGTATTCCACATTCTTCTAACTTAGTCATTATTTCTTAAATTATATTCTCATACTTTGATTCTCTCTTATCTATGTTTATTTTATAACAAAATAGAATGGTCTTATATTTTATTTGGGCTATTTACTACCAAAGATTGTTGGCATATATTCCCATCAAGTCTACCCACAAGATAGCCTGTTTTCCTTGTGTTATAATCTGGCAATGAAAAATTTTCACTAAAAAAGAAAATCCTCTAAAACTGATGTAAAGAATAGGTGTCAGTCATCTACTGATGGGCACATGGGCTGTTTCCAGACCTGAGCTATTGTAAATTGTGTTGCTATGAACATAGGGGAGCATACATTCTTTCTGATTGGTTCTTCAGGTTTCTTAAGACATATTCCTAGTGGTACATTTACACAATGGAATATTAAGCAGCAGTAAAAAAGTAGGATCTCTTACCCTTTGAGACAGCATGGAGGAACCTAGAGAGTATGTTAAGTGAAATAAGCCAGTCAGAGAAAGAGAAGTATCATGTGATCTCACTTATATGTGGAATCTAATGAACAAAAACTGATGAACAAAATAGATTCCAAGATAAAAGCAAAGAACAGACTGTCAAATCTCAGAGGGAAAGTGGGGAGCCGGGGGGAAGATATTAACCAAAGAACTTGTATGGGTATACATGGACACAGACAATAGGTTGGTAAAGGCCTGGAGGAGGGGGGTGCAACAGGTGCAGTCTAGAAGGAGTCAATGGGGAAGGGAAGGGGGCATTTGTAATACTTTCAACAATAAAGATTAATAAAAGATATAGATTAGCTATGCATGTAAAAAAGAATAGGTGTCAGGACAAGACACAATATTGACAATTGACCAACAACACACATTTTCAAACTGATCTGATGGAGAACGTGGTGGGGGGCGAGGGGGCTGACTTGTGAAAACAATGAAAGTAGGAAATTACAATGGGAAGGTATGAAATTAGTAAAGCGGATATTGCTTATCAAGGATTCAATCCCACACACCAACTAAATGACACCCTAGTGTTGCTGTGGAGGAGGATAGAGCATGGGCCAGCAGCAATCCTGGGGCTGAAATTACTGGGGGATTCCACATTCCCCGCTGGTCCTGCAGAACATTTACCCACAGAGGGTATCATTAGAACTGGGTTCTCCTTGAGTTAGAAAATTCCCACTAATCTTTCTTTTGTGTTTTATTTTTAGCATTATCTCCTATGGGTAAGTTCCTTATCTATTCTTAAATGATATTGTACATTGTTTATAGTTATTTTCTGGCCTGGCTGTTTCTACTCCCAAAATACATACTTGTGCTTCTAAGGCCATTTTAAATGTCCCCATTCTCCAAAATGAAGCAATATTTTCGATAACTATTTCTGGAGAGATTGCTATAGAGGAGATGAAGTTCACACAAAAGAGTGGCATAATCTCTGGCCCTCTTCCTGACTCTGAGTCTCCTCACTGACTCCCAGCAAAACACGATAAAAGAAAGATTGGTTCTGAATTCCATTAGTTCCTCGCTGGTAATTCAAAACTCTTTTTCAGTTGTAAGTAAAGGCCTACTGTATTATATGAATAGAAAAAAAATAGTTCAGAACAAAATCTTATCTATTTTCTATTGCCTCTAAATAACTTGACTTTGAGGGATAGTAGGTATTGAACACCTACTATATACTAGGCACTGTGCTAGGCATTTTCAAAGCCCGTAAGTATCTCTTATTCTTACCATAGCCCTGCTTGGTAGCTATTATTACCCCCTGCTTTACAGATCAGGAAACTGGCTCAGGCATTTCCGAGGTTAAAGAGTTGGTAAAAAGCAGGATGCAAACACAGGGCTTCCTGTCCCAAAGTGAACACACCTTCTGCCTCTACACACTGCATCTTATACTGAACCACAAATGCCTTTGTTGTGATTACTCCGGAAGCCTTATCTATAAAGCAAATATTTGTAAGTATAAATATGCATCTACTAGAGAAGCTGTAAATTAAATGCACACAAAAGGTTAAAAATAAAAGGCATCCATTTAAATTGATGCATGGCTTTTAACTGTTTTCTAAATTCAAATTTCTCTATGTCGGGATTATTTAATGTAGGCTCAGCTCTTCAAGGAAATCCATCATATGAAATGAAAGAGAAAGGCAATTTTTAAAACTCTGTAAACATAAGAAGCAAGTAAGACTGAGATGTAGTGACATACACTCAAGCATCTCAAACATTCTAACCACGGGCAAACACAAAGATGCTCCTATTTACACCTCACTCTTCTTCCTCAGTTTCCACTGGAACGAGGGTTGGCTTGTGGTTGGGGGAGAGGCCGTGAAGTTGGGAGAGAGGGCATTCCCAGCAGTCATGAGGTGCCTGCTCCCCAAGTGCCCTCCCCACCTGGGGAAGGTGATAAGGCCAAGCATGTCCCTTAAAAAGGAAGGGGCGATGAGAAAGGCTCACAGGCCAAGTCCCTTCCTAGAAATGAATTCGTTCTTGGTAAATGATTTTTAATTGCCAGAAATACAATCTGTTTAACTTTTTCATTTCTTTACTTTAAAAGATATATTGTTATTGACAATATTTCAAACATGTTCTTCCCTGTTAATATTTTTAATAAAAGAGGGTTAAGGTTGAATTCCTTTATTCAAAGAAATATTTATGACACATCAGCCCATCAGACTTGATCACCTCTCAGGTTGAGACCCTAATTTTCTCTCCTCTATAGTCAGCTGATAAGTATGTGACCTTTTAAATGTTGGTTCGTGGTCTGAGAACCAGGATGCTTCATCTTCTACAGTCCAGATCTGACTGTGCTCTCACTGGCGGGCACTGGATTAAGAACCAAGTAATGTTAGTTTCCTAAGAAAACCCCTGATCTATTTTCTACATTATTTAAGAATCATAACAATTATGATGGTTAAATGTGATAATTATTTCTTGATATCTTTCAGCTTTGACAAAACTTATCAATTAAAATGTTTTTTTCAATTTAAACTTTTTAATCAGCCTGAATACATTACAATGATTTTCAAGGTCTTGATTAAATCTTTTAATTTTATTAGAATTTTGTTGTATAAGCTACCACCTGCAATGAATGGACACTTAGCCAGGATTTACAAAGATTTGTATTATGGAACTCGTGGGGAGCAAGGGGGAGGAAAGACTGATGCACCATCTAGAAATCTGGAAGAAGAGAGAGAGGAATTTAGGGTTTGGTGGAATGATGATTTGTGCCTTCCTTCCGTAATACAAAGTTGAAATAAAGGGAACCTCACTTTATGGGATAACTAGATTCCTAAAAAATACATCCCCAGCAAAACTAATTTCTTTCATTTAGTTTGAGATCAAAAATATTAAAACATTCAAGGGTATGAAGATCCTATGAGAAGTGACTGGAGGTATTTTGTATTGGGAAAAATAATAAACATTTTATAAATTCTACAAAATTGTAGCTAAAACAGACACTGATTGTTTCCTTAAATACTAGAATACTTAATTTTGATTGACAGAATCTATATTATTTAGGAGGTAAATTTAGGTTAAAAATGGGTAATGCAGTAGTATAAGTGACAGTAAATAAGGAATAAATTACCTCCAAGAGATGGTAAAACTAAAAATTATTCATAAACTAAGAAAAGTCAGTTTGTTTCGAAGTACATTCCACTGAATTCATAAAGTTAGACGCTTTGGTGGAAAAATACACTCTCTTCACTCCACACCACACCCCAAACAGAAGGTGTCCACTGGCGATACTGACAGATAGCAAGATATCCTGGGCTGTTTTTCTCAGTACGGAAGCACCAGGGATATAGTAGCACTGACTTTCATTGGAAAATTGGAAATGAGTTTGTCTAAAATAAAATATCTAGTTTCTATATCTTAATGAGCAAGGTAGAGAGGAAAATACACCAAAAAAATAAAAAGTTCAGAAAGCATTAATTCAGAGTTTCAAATAAAATTTTTATTTTGGTGTCAAAAGTTTAAAATGTCAAACAGGAAACACTGAACTACGACATCCATTTTGATTCAGTTACCTCTCTATCTAATACAGGTGTGTCTCACTTTTTACTACTGATAAAATACAGTTCTATATATGTCAATTTTTCAAACAACAAACTCTAAATGTACCAAAAAGCTTTTAATATTGAAAAAGTCAAATAATTAGTTATTATGCAAGAAGTCTTCCTGTAATGTATATATCATTCCTCTAAATTATTTGGTTGGAACTAATAATAACTCGTCTTAATAGTTTTGAGAAAGTTTTTGCCTGGTCTGTCTCATTTGGTTGTAGTAATAGCCAATACTTATTGACTGCTTACTATGTCCCATGCACTGTACTGAGTGCTTTACTTAGATGATATTATTTAATCCTCACAACACTTTTGTGAAGAAGTTACTACTATTGCTCCCATTTTACAGATAAGAAAGTAAAGTTTACAAAAGGTCACCCAGCTAGTTAGGTATGGAGCCAAGATTTGAACTAGTCTGACTCTAAAAGCCATCCTCCTTAAACTATCTGTCTAGAAAACTTAACTCTACAAAGTGGGCAGAGCAAACAAACTAAATATGAGGTGTGAGTCTTTGGGGGTTAACCGACTTACCTAAATAAACCCTGCTGGCAGGAATACTAAACCCAGGTGTTCTGATTCGGCTTTTAAATTCAGTATTCTTTCTACTATATTAATATTGAATGTTAGCTTTGTTCAAAGCAAGACACACCTCTGCTCCATAGCATGAATCCACACAATTCTTCTTGATAGCACAGATTTTGTTTTTCTTAATTCAGACAGTCAAATTGCTAAAAAATAATAATAAAAAAATTTTAAAAACTAGCTTAAAAATTCAATCTTTTTAGGTAACACATAAATAAGACATAGCAGAGCTGCTTTGCCTAAACATAATAAAAAGTCCCTGAAATTTTTGCAAAGTGAGTTAGCCCATATTGCAAGAAACAGTCTAGTAGTAGTGATTAAAACTGAACTCTGGAGTCTAACTGCTCAGTTCAAATCCTAGCTCCACCACCTGCTAATTTCATGACCATATTCACACTTATTTAAACTTTCTGTGCCTCAGTTTCTTTATCTATAAAATGGGGGTAGTAATAGTCCTTACCTTAAATGGTCATCGTGAGGATTACATAAGTTAATGTGTATAAAGTGCTCAGAACAGTGAGTGCCTGGTATGTGGTGAGCACTTAATTAATATCAACTAGCACTATTATTACTTTTGCACAATGAGATGTGCTTTTATTTAATATGGAAAGTATATTTTGAACTTCCTTTTTCTATTTTAAGAAACAATATTGTTTCTTTCCACAATTGTTTCTAAAATTAAATTATATTTCTTTTCCGAATACATCCTTCTTTAGCTCCTATTCAGCATTATTCATTTGGTAGAACATACTGAACAAATGCCAGCTCGCTTATACTACATTTTACTTTATCTTTCATTAATCTTCCAATTTATCGAAAGAGTCTGGAATGTTATCAACACTTAATATAATTTCACGTGTAGCATTCCACCATTTTATATTTTCAGGAAAAACTCAAGTTATCTCCAGCCTGTCAGTTTTAAGACACAAAAAAAAAAAAGAAAGAAAGAAAGGAAACCACTATCAGGGGGGAAAGTAGGAATATAGAGAAAGTACTTATCTGAATTGTGCACTTTTGTTGTGTGCTCAGTTATATTTCCAGGTTACATGGATGGAGAACTTGCAAAAAAATCAGATCCCAGAGTCTCGATTCTAAAAACTGGAGGCACTGCAAAGTCAAAGCGTAGCGAAGACAAAAACAAGGAAGCACTAAAGAAGGAAATCTCCTTCACAGGTTCTGAGGAGTCCTTGGTGCACAAAACAAAGTCAGAAAGAAAAGCAAAAGACACTGATTTGGACACAGGGAAGATAGACATGGAGGCCAAGGTAAAGGGAAGTGATATGGGAATGCCAAGAAGAGAGGAAGCCCAAGTAAAGGCGAGTGAGGCCGGAATACCACAAGGACAAGCATCTCAAGAAAAGGAGAATGAGGTGGAAATACCACAAGGACAAGCAACTCAAGAAAAGGAGAATGAGGTGGAAATACCACAAGGACAAGCAACTCAAGAAAAGGAGAATGAGGTGGAAATACCACAAGGACAAGCAGCATCTCAAGAAAAGGAGGGTGAGGTGGAAATACCACAAGGACCAGAATCTCAAGTGAAGAAGAGTGAGGCCAAAACACCAAAAGGACCAAAAGCGAAAGTAAAGAAGAGTGAGGCTGGGACACCACAAGGTCAGAAACCTCAAGAAAACACTGAGAGTTCTGAAGCTAAAGGAAACCAGGTCAAAGAAAAGGAAGATGCAGGAAAGACTGAAGATACGAAAGAAACTGATGCCAAAGACAAGAAAAGTGGTGAAGGAAAGGACCAAGTTAAGGGAAAGAAAGAACCACAAGTCAAGCGTAAAAAAGCAGAAGCAAAAAAGGAGACAGGCAATTAAATGAAGGAAGTACAATGAAAGGAGGCAGAGTGAAGATAAATGAAAGGAAAGCCCGTGTGACAACTGATTATTATGGATCCTATCGCCCAGATCCGAGTCATATCCCAGCCATTGCTTAAATGGATTATAACTATAGAATGCTTATGATCCATATATCTTTAGAAGTTTCACCATTTTTAGACCTCTCAGCCACAAACCTGTTTCCAACCTTTTTATAAGTTGATACTTATATTACTTAGTCAAGAAAGCCTGGATACTTTCTGAAATAAAACATTTTTATTAAAAATATGTATAATGTTTTTTGACAAATATTATATTTGTGATAGCCTAACCAACCAACCAACAAATTCTCATGGTGGGCCTAATGCTTGCAAGGCACTGTTCTAGTAATATGGGATATACAGAAACAATGTCAGAGTCCCTGCATTAAATTGCTTGTAACATATATAGTGACATAATATGACAATTTTTAAAAAATAGACTAAAGTGTCAGAATGTAGTTTAGATGGACAATATAATAAAAGTTATCAACTTCTTGGTATAAGAAGGCAAAGAGATTATCTTCATGGGGAAGGGAAAGATGGTATGTGACATGTCTCAAAAGATGGATAAGATGTTGCTAAGCTGATGGTGTAGAAAGAGCAAAAAAAAAAAAAAAAAAAAAAAAAAAGGCAACGGGGTAAAGACTGCTGTGCCATGCTCCAGGGGAAGAAGGAACTGAATTGTTGCAGCAGGTTTATGGGAAGTATTCAGGGGTACAATCTTGAAAAGGGGGGTTAAAAGAAAATTCTGAAAGTATTGGCAACACAAGCTTGGAATTGTATTATACTCATCAGGCAAATGGAAACTTTCTGAGGTATTTGTGAAGAAAAGTCAAGTGAATAAGGTTGCATTACTAAAATGATAATTTTGTGATTGTGCAAAATAGAGTGAAAAGGAAAAACATCATAGGCAGTAAATCTAGTTAAGAGGTGCTTGGAAGAATAAGTGGTGGAAAGAGAATAAACAGAAGGATGAGATGTGAGATATTTTTTCAATGAAGAATCACTACTTCATGATGACTGACTACATACGAGTAAGGGGGGAGAATTTATGACTCCCTAACTTTTGAAACTGGGTGACAGAAAACCAATAACATACTAGGAGCTAGTTTTAGAACAGGGAGGGAACCACAAATTGAGTTTGAAGGGGCAAACAATAATATTTACCATTCAGGAGAGATCTGGAGTCAGTCCAACAGAGGTAACAATTGAAGGCCTGAGAGTAGGAGCTCCCAAAGGAGCAAGTCCAGAGCCAGCAGAAGTAGAGCTCGAGCAGGTGCAAGAACTACACCTGTGATACGTAGTGGGCTGAAGGAGAAAACTTACCAAGTCAGGAAGATAGAGGGGAAACCTGCACAATGAATGAGTTGCAAAAAGAAAGGATGATTATAGCATAGCCGGGACTTCGAGGAGACGAAGGACTGAAGACACCATTGCAGGGGCTGTTTGTAGATAGCTGACGAACTTGTAAAGAGCACTTTCCAAAGACAGGTAGCGAGGAGGTTTTCAGAAATTTTATTTTTACACTATTCACTCTGTGCTGGTTAGTCCTTACTCTGAATATTATACTCATTTTTGTCATGGGATATGGATAAATGAAAGTACCTTCACATGACAGATGATGATAGTAAGGGGACCCAAATCATTTCAAGAGAGTAGGCAGTTCCACAGTTTCACCTGGGGGAGAAAAACATACAAGGAGACAATAAGAATTATTTTCAAATATATGAATGCCCATCATGGATTAGGATATTTTGTACGGCTCCAAGGAAATAACACCAATGAATGAAAGGTTCAAGGTAACAGCTTTTTGTCTCAACGTAAGGGAAGTGTTTAAGACTGGAAGAGATTAAGGCTGCGTGATCAGCCCAGCCGATGTGGCTCAGTGTTTGAGCATAGACCTATGAACCAAGAGGTCCCAGGTTCAATTCACAGTCATCGCACATGCCCGGGTTGCGGCTCGATCCCTAGTAGGGGCATGCAGGAGGCAACTGGTCGATGTCTCTCATCAGTGTTTCTATCTCTCTCTCTCTTCCTCTCTCAATAAGAGACTGCATGATCGTTGGTGGGTGTGTTGTGGAAGAGATTCTTAGGAATCAGCTGAGTGGTTGGAGTAGATTATTTTCTGAGTCTATAATTTAGAGTGTAAAATTATTTTGGACTCACCAGATGTCTTCCAAGGAACCTTTTCAAACCAATCTAATATGCTAGAATCCTTTAGAGGTTTGGCAAGAGAGCCCATACTTTAGTCCCTGCCCAACGTATAAAATGTTTCATAGATGGCTCGTTCTAAGTAACTACAAGCTGAAGACAGCAGCTCCACAGCTTCTAGCACAATTCAAACCACTGTGTGGATCCCCACCACGTGCTCACAGCCCAGCCACAGGGAAAGCCTAAGTTACTAGTAATTTTAGAGGTCACAAATGAACCACATCGATTTAGCAAGACTGCACTGCAAATAAGAGGGCACGATAAAACTATGGAACATGGCATTTTTATATTGTAAACTACATCCACGACTCTGGAACATTCACATTTAGAATTTTACCAGCCTTAGTTGACTTATCTTTCATATATATTATGCTATTATCAGGGGGAAATGTGACAAGAAGGCTTTTCATATAGTAAAGATATTCAGGTTTTCCTGACCCATAAGTCACTTTTCCATAGCTCTCTTTGGTTCACCTGCCAGCTAGCTAGCAGGTTTAGAAGGCAATGAGAAACTCAGCTTCTCTCAGATTACTGCGAAGAAGCAGGGACCCTGTCAAAATCAACTACAAAAAGCAATCGTCCAGCTCAGGTGACTCCATATCTGAATGCATATCCCATTGAACCAAGGACTCAAAAGAGATAAACTCATAGACACCTCTCTGTATCACCTCTATAATGTCTAACTTACAGTGAACACATTCCCATTATGTCAGTGAAGGCCAGTTAAGTCATGGAATAGGAATTCCAACTGTGAGAACTGTGTGAACCATCTAATGGCCACCAAAAACAGGCCAGTTGAAAACAAATGTTAATCCTCTAAGATTCAAGAATGGAAATATAAAAGGCCTCCAGAAAAATGAAAGAATAAGGGTGAAATATCAAAATTACACCATGTTTAGCAAAATGATACAATGATATTAAGAAAATAAGTATATGTACTTTCAACACAGTTTAGATATAAAGGTAGAGCTTAACAGAAAACTAATGACAAAAAATTTTAATTTACAGATAAACTAATACAAATGTCAAACAAGCTGTTCACAAAGCAAACAAAAACATACATCAAAAACTTCAAGTTGGTTGCTAAGAAAGTAGACCTTAAAAAATCTCATTACAAGGGAAAAAAAGAAAATTTGTAAGGTGATGAATGCTAACTAAACTTGTGATAATCATTTCACAATATGCACATATAGGGTGTCCCAAAACTGTATACATGCACTTTGAATAATTACAAAGGCAGTGTTTATTAAAATATATTTCATTTTCAAAATTGAGCTATCAGCTGTTAAAGTATGTATACATTTTTTGTGACACCCTGTATATCATTATATTTTTGCACTTTAAACTTATACACTGTTATATGTCAGTTATATCAATAAGCCTGGAGGAAGGGGAAATGAAGTCTTACACCTTAAATATATACAGTTTTTGTCAATTATATACTAGCAAAGATGGGAAGAAAAAAAAGAATGAGTGAAAGCCTGACCATTAGTCACTTTATGTTTAGGAGAACAGCATAAGGAAATAAAAGCAGGAAAGTGAGTTAAAAGATAACAAAACTGAATAAGAAATGCAAAGATATTAAGAAATCAGCAATTTATATAAAATTAGTGTGGCTGGTATTAATTAAAAAATATTTTTAAATGGAAAATACATTTCCTAGACTAGAATTGCATTAAAAATGTGATCTCTCATTGCCTCAAAATATCTCTCACCCCAGGTTGTAACTGATGTATCTAAGAAGTAAATGCAGGGAGCTGGTAAAAGGGAAGGATAGAATTTGAAAACAGGATCCAAAGAGAGAAAAGGATAAGCTGAAAAGTTGATTAGACTATTCAGTTTTATATTTAACCAGTAGCCCGGTGCACAAAAATTTGTGCACTCGGGGGTGAGGGTGAGGGGTGGGGCCAGACCCCTCAGCCCGACCTGCACCCTCTCTCATGTTCTGGGATGCCGGCCACTCCTGGCCTAAGCACAGGCCTACAGGCTTGGGCGGCCTGGCTCCCAAGGCCCCATTTTATCAAGAGAACAAAGTTGGCATTAGTTACAGCCCTCACCAAACCCAGTACACTGCATCTGTGCGTACAGCTGCCTCGTTCATGTGCCTGCTTCACCTACTGAATTACTAACACCTTAAGGACATAGCTCTGTCTTATCCTGCTTCAACTTCAGTGCCTGGCCTGGTGCCAGGGACCTGAGAGGGTTTGCTGAGTGAGTGAGTGAATAATGAGTGAGTGAATGAATGAATTTGCAAGTAAGTGAATGAGCAAGCAGCTACAGGGTGGGAACTTCTGCCGCGTTGCCTGAAGCCCACCCTGGGGAGTTCCCACCCTGTTCCCAGCGGCCAGGTGCCCCTCTCCCAGCTGCATAGTTCACACCCTGCTCTCAGCTGCCTGACACAAACCCCAGGAAGTTCCCGCCCTGCTCCCAGCGGCCCCACGCCCCTCTCCCACCTGCATAGTTCTCGCAGGGGAAAGGCAGCCCGGGTTCTCTGCCTTTGCCCTGCCACCTGGCTCTTGCCTGCCGGCTGGGTTTCCAATCACCATCAGCGGCAGGCAGCTTCTTTCGTCCTTCCCCTTTCGCCTCCCATCATTGTGCCTATGTATGCAAATTAACCACCACCTTTGTTGGCGGTTAACCGCCATCTTTGTTGGCAGTTAATTTGCATAACACTTTGCTGGGGTCCAGCCCCAGCGGGTCCAGGGGTCCCCAAAGGTGTGGATGGAGTCGGCGAAGAAGGAATGACACAGAGACAGCATTCAGTTGATCAGCAGCCTAGCCAGGATCTCCAGCCAGGTTCTCCAGCCAAGTTCTGGTCTGGATCTCCAGAGAGGTTTTGCTTCAGATCTCCAGCCAGGTTCTGTGTCCATGTTTTCTTGCTAGGTTCTCCAGCCAGGTTCAGTCCAGGTTCTCCAGCCAGGTTCAGTCACCAGGTTCTAGTCAGGTTC